ACATTACTTGCACCGCTCTGTTTAGATAGATTTTATTCTGTCTCAGTTTGTCTACTTGCATTAGATTTGAGGGCACAGACAGCTATCCCAAAAACATCAGTATATAGCACAGTAATCATCTTTAATTTCTTATTAACTTAATCTGGAGCCCTGTATGACTTATACTGGTTTATCATGACTGATCTTTTAAATCTGGTTTGTTTGATTGCTGTTTGATATCAACAGATTTTATTCAAAACTGATATGATTGATAGTATCAAGTCTGAGAATATAGGCAACTACACTGAAGATGAAAAGATTCACTACCATAAACATTCTGGTTTAGTTACTGCCTGTTTTTGAAGCTTTATACTATATACAAAGTTGTGTTTTTATTAATACTGTTATGTACTGATATGTTCAATTATACTATGTCTGATGATATAGCCAATTCTACTGAAGATAACAAGAGACAACACAGGAACTATGGTAGAACTCCTTGTACAATGGTCTTATATGCCTTTGTTTTTTCTTGCTTTGTTTTGTTTCTCCCTCTAATATAGAAAGGATATAAGTACATATTAAGACTCATGCATGTGTAGAACTTACAAGCAGTTTATGAGAACTGATCTTATGACACATGATGAAATGAACAGATACTTTGAAGAAAAAGAGACACTGAAGTACCCAGTGCTGATCCTAGAGTGTCATAAGGTGAAACCCAGCAATAGTATTATTCTTTGTTCAGAGTGATATTAGCCTGCTTGGGTTTGTTAAATCTCAACGTAATTTAAGACATGGATAACTGCATGTATGTTCTAAGTGTATAAGATTAATAACCACATTTCTAAGTTTTTGTTGGATAGTTGAACAGAACTGGTTGCAGGCTCAATGTTTGAATCCCCACTTTATATGCTCCACTTTAGTATCTTCAATAACTATTTGTAAGAGGACAATCTGTAATCAATCAACTAGTGATTTCTTACTGTTTATTTTTTCTTTGAAAGTATATATTATTTCTACCTGTTTTCTGTTTTGTTTAGTCTTTCTTTAAATAAAATTTTTTAAAAATGTGAACTACTACAGCAATCACAGGTTAGAAGCACAAAACTGTCACAAAGAAAACAAGAGGATGGTTGTATGAAATAGTTAATAAAATGGACACTGGAACATTGGGAAAGAAAAAGAAGGAATAAAGGGAGGGAAGGAGAGAGGAAGAGAGAGAGAAAGAGAGAGAGAGAGAGAGAGAGAAAGGCAATCCATGTAGAGAGATAGGAAAAAAAGGAAGGAGGGATAGAGTGAAATTACTTAAAACATTAAACGTTCAGTGAAACTAACAATGTCAGGTAATTAATGATGAAGTCATCTACTACAAATAAATTATGTCAGCAAGAACAGATTTCTAGGATTGAACAATCATTAGCCCATCCCTTTCCACATGTGTCTTCAGAGACTGAGTTTATTCAAACAAAAAAATGCTCATTGAGAATAAAGACTTTTGAGGTATTAACATTCCAGATTTAAGTTTCATAATATTTTTCTGCACATGAAATCTTTCCAACAGAGTGGTTACTAGACTAAGGATAGGATGGTGCTACTAAACTAAGGATAATATAATGCTTATGAAGAAAAGCAGATAGCCCATAATTATAAGAGGGAATAATGGTATGATATCCTAAGCATCTGCAAAGGCCTCAAGGAAAATATCACAAAAGTTAGAATACCATTGCTATGTTCAGAGACTTTAAGTATGAGTCAGATGGCTACACAATATCTAGAAGAAAAAAACAGTTCCTAAAATATGGCTTTCTTTTTTTTTTTTTTTTACTATTAGGCCACTGTAAGATCCAAATAAGTAGCTTAAGCACCCTGTGCTTCAGTTTTTATAGCTGTAAAGTAGACAGCTGTGTAAAAAAGGATGAGAAGAGATAAAGAAAGCAGTTGAGTATGTAATGCTGCAATCTAGGGTAGACTTACAGTAGCTTGGGTCACATAGTGGACACAACATAAAAAATGAGGTGAATCAAGAAGTCCATCAAGAACCTGAGGTTGTAAACTTATCTGTAAGAACTTAAGAGAAAAAGGGGACGGGGGAAGGGATCAAAAATAAGCCTTTGGCACCAATGGCTATTATTGTCAACCTGACTCATTGATTCAATATCAGGCAATAATATCTACTGAATACATATCAGGCGTGAGGTACTAAGACCTGTGCAATGAAAAAAAAAGATAGATGTATCTCTGTACCTAAAGAATAGAGACAAGCAAATCAGCAAGTATAAGGCAGTGGTGTAAGAGCTAAGAGCTCTTACAAATGAGTTTCACGCTCTCCAATCGTAAGAGTTTTAGGAGACTTACTGGAAGAGGTGACATCTATAGACTGAGATCTAAAAAGTGGAAATTTATTTTGTTTTTTAAAAGTGGTTAGGGTACAGAAGGACTGGGCATAGAGGATAGCAGGAACGGGGACTCTGTGATGAGAAGATTGAGCATTTAATCAATAAGGGATCTGCAAGAGACCCAATGTGGGACATGAGATTGGAATAGCCAGGGCTTTATAACCACTGTTAAAAAGTTTGCTGTGTATCCTGTAGGCAGTAAGAAAGTTTGGAAACTTTTAACAGGAGAGTAAAAGTTATGCATTCTTTTAAACAAATAATTGCTGAGCACCTACTGTATGTTAAAAAGATCATTCTAGATGCTAGGGGAAAGTAATTAAACATAATCAGATATATATATATTAGCTCAATTAGTCTGATTATTAAGTGGAGCACTGTGTGTAGGAAAGCATGACATAAGAGAACAGGACCACTTAGAAGTGTATTGATAAAATTCAGGTAAGGAATCAGAGTAGTTTGGGCCAGAGTCATGACTTTAGAGATGGAGAAAACTCACAGACTTTGAGAGGCATTGCCTTCCTTACTAAGAGTTTTATTGCTGTGGTTCACATTAGGAAAAGAAAGCTCAATGGTGAGTAGCATTTAGCAAGCCTCACACTGCATCTTTGAGGAGAGCAGGCTCTTAAAAGCCTCCTAGTGAAGCATTAAATTATTGCTTTGACTTCGAGCATGTATCTCATCAAGTACTTTACTGGATTTGTCCATACCTACCTAGTCAAATCATTATTTTTTTTTGTAGTTTTTCTTTTTTATCGGTACCAGGGATCAAACTCATGACCACACACTTGCAAAGCAGGTGCTTATGCCGCTGAGCTAAATCCCCAGCCCCTAGTCAAATCATTATTAAAAGTACATGAAATCAGAAGGAAAAACACTCTGCCAGCACACCCAGCTTCCATCTATGTCTGAAAGTAAGTATAATTCAAAAGAATCTGCTAAACATAAACTTTTTCTAAGTCACTAAGAAATATTGCCGGCAGCTTCTGGTGACAACTTATTACATTCTAATGATGTAAACTACTCCCTCAGGATAGTTTAACTTGCTACAGACAAGATGCTTATTACTTCTTTACTCTTATAGAACACAAATGGTTGCTGGGAAACTCAAAGCCAATATTTAAGATGTTAAGCCAACCTAACAGTCCAGCAGCATTCTATGGAGATTAAAGATGGCCCAACAGAAATAAATTTCACAACCAATTACAGCTGCATTGCACTCTATTTGTACAGTCTATTAATCCAGGTTTCATTATGAAACCTGGAATTTGGAAAGTTGGGAGAATTTCTTGAAATAGCTCCGTCCATTCTCTAGTCAGGACTGAGTACTCAATATACTCTTTAGCTAGAGCTGCCCTGGCTAATATGGAAGAAATGCCTGTATAAAGACCTCATGCTGTCTCCAGCTTCAGTAGAGATGACACTGAAGTAGTGGCTTCTAAGTATCTGCCAAGAACCAAGTGCTTGAGAATTTCCTATTTTGATCATTAAAAATTTAGGAAACTTGCCAGGTATGTCTGAAACCTACCAAATAAGCACCTCTTGGTGGATTTCCAGGAATCTGTACACTTGACAGGCTCCCAGAGGAATGTGATGTGTAGTCAGATGTGTTAGCTTCCTTCAGGGGTCACCTGAGCAGAAGCAGGCACAGAAAGCTCACAATACAACCCAAGGAAACCAAACAGTATTGGTCATAGCACCACTATACTGATCAAATTTCCTTTTGCTGTGCAAACTACCTGCCACCTTCAATTTAAATGATGAAGAACTTATTTTTGGCTCATGGTTTGGGGTATTTAATTTACGGTTGGTTGGCTCCAAGGCAAAAACCTTGGCTCCAAAGTAGAAGGGCCTGGTTAGAGCAATGCTGCTTAGTTTGTGGCATCTGGGAAGCATAGCAAGGGAACAACACCAGAAAGTAAGGAGCAAAAACTAGATCTAATACCCAAAATCACACCTCCATGCCCCATCCAACCACACTCAGAAATGTGCTTTACTAATCCCCAAAGCAGCTCCCAAATTTACAATTAAGCTTAATGATCTCAAAAATGCCCACCTGTTCTTTTTGCCTCTGGCTCCAGTTCGAACCCTTAACTCTGATATGTTCTCCTTTTCCTTCCATCTATAAGATCTTGGACAAGTAAGTTAGCCTTCCTAAGCCTCATTTTCCTCAACTGCAAAATAAGGATAATCTCACAATTGCCCGGGTCATTAGAATAATTAAATAAGATAAATAGATAAAATAAGATTAATAGATAAAAATAAGGCATATTAAGAAATTAATAACTATCACCTATCTAAGAAACTTTTCTGGCTGTATTCAGCTCTCACTTTTCCTTTCTTATTGGAGAATCCTACCTTTGTCTTCCCCTTTAAGCACAATCTATTCCACCAGTAAAATACAGAAAATATTACCTGCTTCTCATGGTTGTACATGAAGATTAAATAATATAATAAATGCATAAATGCCTTAAAATGATATGTAAATATTAGCAATCATAATTGTTTATTAATTCCAGTAATACATTCAACACTCACTATATCCAAGGCACTGTATGTGTAAGTGTGAAGTAGATATGTTACCTGCGAACATAAAGTTTAGAGTCTAGTAAAAAGGTAGTTACCGTGATTGTTTCAGCAGCACATATACTACAATTTGAACAACACAGAAAACATTAGTATGGCCCCTGGATGAGAATGACACACAAATTCATGAAATGTTTCCTGTTTTTGAAAAACAAAAGACGATTACAAAGTGGCACATACTAAAATAATGGCTGCCCATGATACAATCATGACACATGGGGAAAGCCCTTGGCCCTGACTTGAGGGAAGCAGGCTACAGAGGGCTTCCTCAAGCTCTGGAATTAAGCAAGGAGAAAAAGTGGAAAGAGATGACAAAATCATAGAGAAGAATCAAGGCTATCTCTAGGATTTGGGTTGAAGAGTAGTTCTTTTCCTGGTATAAAAAGTGTTGAAAATAACATGCTTAGAAGACACAATAATAAATTCTGTTTTGAATGTGATGAGCCTTGGAAATAGCCAGGGAAAGCTGTCCAATAAACAGCTGAATAGCAGGACCTGAAGCTCAAGAGATTGATTTTGCATAAAGCTATAGATTTGGGAGTCACTATGTAGATAATGCTTGAAAGCATGAGAGGGTTACATAGAGTAAGAAGAAAAGAGTTCAGTATGGTTAGAAAAAGAAGAGGCTATAAAAGGCTTTGGGTTCTGTTCCTTTCTGCTTTCATACAACTCTTATTCCATCGAATACCCTGCCTTCTCTTATTTCTTTAGCCTCTATTTTTGTACTTATTCTTTTCTGTGAACATGTAAGTATACTGTCTTTATTATTAAAACAAATACATTCTGTCTACCCCATAGCTCTCTCCAATTACAGTCCTGTCTACCTCCTCCCCTTTAAAGCTAAATGTAGTAAAATTGAAATGTATGCTTGGGATCTCCATTTCTTCATGTGCCTTTCACTTCTTAACCCTCTTCTGTTTTCCTATTGAAGCACATTTCTCAGGGTCCTTTAGAGCCTGTTGGTTGCTAAACACAAAAGAGAGATCTTGTTTTTTATCTCACCTGACTCCTCCAAGGTTGTAGAGGTAGGTGTCAGTGCTTCCTCTTGTTTGAAATGCATTCTTCCTTTGGCTCCCCCATGGTCACTTTCCTAGCTTCTCCTTTCCATTTTCTGCTCCTTGTCAGTCATGTTGGTGGTCTTTCTCTGCCTCTTACTCTCTTTAACTCTACTATCCTTCAGGCTTCTTTCTCAGCCCCCCACCTTTTGGTAAGAACAAATTCTATCTCTTTCCTCCAATCTGGTATTTTAATTCATGCCCAAGGAGTTAGCCTAAAACAGATAAAGCCCAACTCTTTCATTTTCATAAATAGGATAAATGGATGATATCAGCCATCACTAATTTCTTAGATTTGATTGTAGGAAATTAAAAGAGTGCCAATCTGATGGTTTATATTTTCTCTAAAAAATAGCAGGCAAAGATATTTACTGAATATGTGGTACAAGGTGTTAAAGTTTGAGAATATTAGAAGAAAGGAGTTTTGAAATTCTCATCATAGAGGACTAGAAATGAGTGAGGAAAGAAATATGAAATAATTACTGAAAAATGTGGGGGCCCCAATTAAGTAGAGAGTGATTATTTTTAAATGTCCCCAATTTACTTGTTCCTTTTGGTAGTAATTAAATATAAACACGGAGGCTACAAATGGTAGGATCAAAAGTGTGATTTTCCATATGAACTCACAGAAGTACAACAGAGGAGTAAAGGAATTAAGGGTAACAGCATAATAGTATTTATGCTGAGATGAGAAAAGTTTAAAAAGGAGGGATTGTAGAGGAAAAATCTCAATAAGTTTAAAGAAACAGGTGTAGACACAATAGCTAAATAAACAAAGCAGGGAGACTAGTGGGTTTGGTCATAGAGTAGGATCATGGTCTTTATTGTACTGAAGTTGATACAGTCTGTATAAAGGCCTTGGTAGGAAGCTCAATACAATCAATGATTGTTGGAAGTAAAAGGTGAGTTTAGAGTAGGGGAGAGGGGAGAGGTACAATTAAAACATCACTACTGTGAATTCATCGTCCCTCCAACTCAGAATCAATTTAGGCTCTCTCTGAGCTGTTTCCCACAAGCACTTGTACTATTGCCCTTACTTCACTGTATTCCAATTATCTTGGCCCCTGTTCATCTCTACTTGACTGAGAGCTCTTCAGGGAGAAGTGTCAGATCTCATTCTTCCCACCCACCACAGTACACACGGGAGAGTGAGCATACAATAGCAAGTAATTGCATGAGTGTCTCATAATAATTGTTATGATGTGACTTCATATCATAAGCCTCTTTCTTTAATTCTTGTAATATATCACTGTTGTTTTTCACCCATAAATAAAAAGAAATACGCATTTGATTTCTTATGTATGCATAATGCTGTTTTCATGATACAATATCCTCTTTTTTCTAAAGACATTTTTTCTCTCAAGTTGTAGATAGGGAACCATAATCTTTATTTATCCTCTCAGATAACATTCTTTTATCACTTTCCTCACATCAGAACCACACCAAGGGCTTGACTATTATAGAAATTAAATCTCTGGCTAAATCCTTCCTTGATATAGAATCATTATTTCATTCCATGAATGATTTATTAGTTGCTGCCCATATGTCAGGCTGTCCTATAACAAGGCTCAGGGGATAGAATGATGAACAAAACAATTTCTTTCTTCAGTCAGACCTATAGACAGGTAAGGAGGCAAGACAATGCCAGGCAAGCATTGTATCAGTCAAGATACGTCGCAGTAACCAACAAACCTAGAAATATCAATGGCTAAGAAGCAACAAAGGCATATACCTCACACAGACAAGTCTGTTGTGTGTGTTGATGACTGTCCATGGCATCAGCCCTCTACTCTTATCCCTTTGTGTCAGTTCACACTGTCAGAATTGCCAAAGCAGCTATGCATCAATTCTCACAAACCATCAACCAAATCAAACTATCTGGTCACACCTGTATTCAGGAAAGTATGAAAGTTCCTTCCTCTTATCTGCTCTGAAGAAACATACAAGTAACAGTGAAAATGCCGATCACAATGACAAAGCAGAAAAATGAGCACTATCAGAGGCATAAGAGGGGCTTCTCAGGTCTAGGAGAGTCAAGGAAGTCTTGTTTTGTTGGAGGGGAAAATATCTAATGTGAGACCCCAAAGATGAATAGAATAGAAGAATAGAATAGAATAGATACATGCTTAAAAGTTAGACCTTGAAAATATGTCCAATTATTATGTGTCAAACATAAAATAAAACTAAAGAAAAAATACATGATAAAATAATCAAAGTTGTAGAAACCAACAACTACATACATAGGCTCACACAAATACAGACATACACATGAAAATATATAGAGACACAGTTTTACATATGGGGCTAGAAAAATAGCTCACTGGTGCAATGTTTGCCTGGCATGTATGAGGCCCTGGGTTCAGTGCCAGGACAAACAGAGGCGGAGAGGAGTTTAATGGTATTTCCCCACATATACACTGCCCCTCTAGGAAAAAGCATACTCTTATGTACTGAGGAATTCCAAAGTTTCAATAGCTCCTGGGAGTCCATTTACAGAACAAAGTTACTTCCTCAGCAACTGGGTCCAAGATTGAGAAGTGACAAGTTGATTATACATCCCCACCTATTTTTTTCTAACATCACCTCCAAAGAGTACTCTCTCTACCATACTATTGTACCTACATTATATGGTGATTGCAAGGATCAAGTACCTTAAAGCCAATTGCATAGCTGCTTAGCATATAGTAAGGCCAAAATTAATCACATATTACTCTTTGCTCACACTGAAGTAAGCAGTCTTCTTAAGCCTCCTACTTTTAAGAACTTCCTTAGTGAGAACTATTATGCCCACTGTTCAGAAGAGAAATTGTGAAAAATAGTGTAACACACAATAGTGTAATGCCAAATATACATACCTAGTAATGGTGGGAGCTAAGCTATGAACCTAGGACCATCTTAAAGTTTGCTTAAACTGTGTTTAAATTACTACCAATAGAAGATGAACTTCCAGGTTCAGTCAGAATGACGATGATACTATATTTGACTGAAATTTTCTTCATACAAGTACATACACATTAAGCAAGTACAAGCCTACTTAGCCTATCATAAAGCATAAGTAACGTTATATGCAGTGATGGTGACCCTCTGGCATAGACATCAAAAAGGCAGAGCTAAAGTCTTCCAGTTTAATTTTAAAGTTTCTTTTTCATACTTTTTTGACCCCTCAAAATTTTCTTAGTTGGCTGAAAGCAACACAACTCTCAGAATCACATATCTCTTTCACTCATCTTGAACACACTTGTTAGTGCAAATTAGAACTTGTTAAAGATTAATTCTTAAAGAATCCTCAAGCTTTCTTTTCCAACAAAGGAAACATCAATTATAGGCTCACACATAAACTTTGCCCCTCTCTTGAATACTTGCTGCCCTTTATAAATCTTAGATTTCTTTCCCTTGAGTATTCGTTCAAAGGAGAGATTTTATTGCCTCCAGGGGTTGTTAAACTGATTGCAATACTGCCTATTTAGAGCAGTTCAGTGGGAATTAAAGTGGTTCAATGCTGTCAGATCTAGAATATAGCTGTCAAATAGCATTACAAGTAAAACACCCTTGATAAGAAATAATGACCAAATGTCAATCTGTTTTTTACTGCCCTTACTACAGACTTCTGCCATAAAAAAAGCAATGTTTTACACTTCATAGTAGCAGGATGTTTCTGATATTTCTGCCAAAATTCTAGCATTGTTTCCAAAGATATATATATATATATATATATATATATATATATATATATATATTACATGCAGTTCTGCAGTTCTACATGCAGACTGAGCTCAAACTGTTGGAAGCAATTCTTTTCCCTTTTATGACTCAAGGCAATATGTTCATGGTTGTCTTAAAAACATTGTTAAATTTGACCATTCATTCATTCATTCATTCACTCAACTAACATTTGTTGGGCCTTCTGAGTTTAGCAATATGCTAAATATTGGAGTATAAACACAGTTTCTTGTAAGCGAATTTAAAGTCAGTATTTAGGGCTGGGGATTTAGCTCAGTGGCAAAAGTGCCTGCCTGGCATGTGTAAGGTCATGAGTTTGATCCCTAGTATCCCTCCCCCAAAATTAAATTAAATTAAAAAGTCAGGACTTA